CCAAATGTCCATCATCAGATGAGTGGATAAGGAAACTGTGGTGTATCTACACAATGGAATAATACTCTGCTGTAAAAAAGAATGAAAATACTACCATTTGCAGCAACATGGATGGACTTAGAAAAGAATATATTAAGTGAAATAAGTCAGGCACAGAAACAGAAATACCACGTGTTCTCACTTACTTGTGGGAGCTAAAAAGGATAAACTTCTAAAAGTGAGATTGCTTGTTCTATGGCAGTGGTTCTCAACCAGAGGTTATTTTGCCCCCAAGAGACATCTGGCAATGTCTGGAGACATTTTTGTTCATCAGAACTAGGGGGGGTACTACTGGCATCTATTAGGTAGAGGCCAGGGATGCTAGTAAATACCCTACAATGCACAAGACAGCCCTCCACAAGAAAAAATTATCCATCCCAAAATGTCAGTAGTGCCAGGGTTGAGAAACCCTGTCCTAAGCACATGTGCATGTGAATGTTTGGTAAATAGTGCTAAACTGCCCTCTGTAATGATCAAGCTAATTACCCTCTGCAGCAATGTTTGAGACTGCCTGTTTTCCTCCATTCCCTCCCCACAGTCTTATCAACTTCTTGATCTTTGTCAATCTAAGAGAGGAAAAATAATATTCCGTTATAGCTTTATTTTGTACTTCTTATATTATGAGTGAGACAGAACATTTTTCATATGTTTGAGACTTTTTAGCTTTTCTGTAAACTCTTTAAAACTTTTGCCCATTTTTCTATTAGTAGTTGGTTTATTCTTATTAATTTATAAAAGTTATTTGTTTTAAGAAAATTAGCTCCTTGTGATATTAGATACAATATTTTTCCAGTTATTTATCTTTTGATTTTGCCTACGATGCTTTTTGCTATGCAGAAAAAAATTATTTTTATATGATTGACTTTATTGATTTAATGGTTTCTGGATTTTATATTTTGAAAGGCCTCCCCATTCTAAGATTATAATAATAATTTTCCCATTATTTATTTCAGGATTTTAATCATTTTATCGCATTTAAATCTCTGATACAAATGAATTAATTTCAGTATAAGATATAGTTCCAATTTAACTTTTTCCTAAATGGCTACCTAGTCATCCTAAATCATTTATTCAATAATCTGGCTGTCACTTGCATACTGCAATTCCACCTTTATTATAAACTAAATTTATCAATATCAAAACTTTATCAGGGGCCGGCCCGGTGGCGCACTGGATAGTGCGCTGCTTGGGAAGCGCGGCAGCGCTCC